CCCTCCCTCCCTCCCTCCCTCCCTCCCTCCCATCTATCCATCCATCCATCCATCCATCATCTATCCATCCATCCATCCATCCATCAGGAGAAGAGTTAAGTCCTGCAGGATTTTGTAGAAACTCGGGGTAAGATAATATCTGTTTCTGATTTACACATTCCAAGAAATCAAGGATGAATATAATTCAGGTTCACTTTAAAACAGTTGCTGAAGTTTTGGAAGAATAAAACAGTGGTATGGTAGTATGGAGCTACTCTTAATGCTAAATTACCTTTAGGTCCTAGAATCACCACATAAAATGTATCTTATCCTGCTAGAATTTCTAGTTCATTTAATGTTATATTTTGGTAGTTGAGTTTAAAAATTGAAAACATCTTGTAAATATACTAAATTAATAAAACTTCACAAAATTTTCACTGCCCAATATTTATGAAGTAGGGCACACCTGGAATGCTTGTAAATGAGAAATAAAAAATCAGTTTCTAAATACTGATTTAGTAAAAGAAATTGTGAACATCTATGTTTAAGAGTTACATTGATAATGAACATTGGAAATATTCAGATACATATTGTATTCAGTGTCTATTGTTCCTTTCTTTGTGAAATTTCTACCGACTGCAATGGTGACATTTTCACCCTTGACCAATTTTGCAATTGAGTTTTAACACCCTGGGGAAAAAAAAAAAAAACACCTGAAAGTTTTACAGCTCCACTAGTCAGTTCACTGGATTTTCAAGACAGTAATTGGTGCAACCTTGGAAATAATGACACAATGCAAGATCTTACAGTATTCTGCTGACAAAGTTTGTGTACAATAAAAACAGTGGGTTTGTCAATGTAGTTTGATCTAATGTCTTGCCCTTTCATGGTAAGGAAAAGAGAAGCAAAGGGTAGGAGGCTAACTACTCGGGGTGAACTACTTTAGTTTCTATATCCAATCTCTGATTATTACTTTTTCTGCCTAAACTTTCTTTAGCAGGAAATTCCTATACTATTCTTCATTTTCTTCATTATTTATAAAACATGTCACTATTTTTTCAATTAAAACTATAACATATTTAATGGATTTATATGAGTAAATATGTAATTACTTGCAAAAGCTTTCACAAAACATGAAGGTTTCATCAGAATGACACAAACACTACATTTCATAATCAGGGATGGTATTCACTCACCTTCGCTACTGGTTCACAAATGTGAGCGCATACACAGAGTATCAAAAACAGGACATGATGATGTCCGGGCAGGTGGGTGGGACCTCCCACAACCACCTCTACTGGTTCGCCCAACCAGATACAACTGAATACCACCACTGGTCATAAAGCAAGTTCTCCCTTCTTATATACATGTTATAAACCTTTTATTGTAATAAGAGCTTTTATTATGATGTCACAATGCTTATTTAATCCTTTGGTCTCCCTTGTCCCCTCCCTGTAAATGGCAATGGAAGATGGCCGCTTACAGATTTGAGGAAGACCAAGACTTCTGAGTGAAACACAACTCAAAAATATGTATACAAGTTTTCTCAGAGGGAATATGGATCAGAAACAATGCAAGCCCACCCTTAAAAACTTTTGTAGTAGTTTCTACAAAATATAACTTTTTAAATTTGTTTTCCTTCCTTCCTTCCTTCCTTCCTTCCTTCCTTCCTTCCTTCCTTCCTTCCCACCAAGTCAATAGGATATGAATCCTGCCCATCTAATATCCCAGTACAGAATATTCACAGTTTATACTGTATGGAAGCTGCTATTTAAGTGAATATGCCTTATACTCCTATATAAAGAAATATATAAATAATTTAAAACACATTAAGTGATATTTGCTATTGATACTTCTATAGTAAGTTAGCACCCACCCCTCTCCTAGAAAAATGAAATATTCTAGGAAATATTAAAAAGGCAGAATATTATATTTCCCTGGATGAGAAATGGAGAAACATGTTTTTTAGGCAGAAAGCAGACTAACTCTTAATAGCCCCACCGTGCTCAATAGCCCACAGCAGATGTAAGCACTTAAGAGATAAAGAGATGTCTAGGTCTATTCATAAACAAATACCCTCACCCAAGATCCAACAAAGGGAGAATTAGCCCTCAGCCATAATAGGAATTGCCCAAAGCCTTTCATTATATCACCGAGCACAGTTCAACAAGCTGACTCAGAAAACCTACAAGGTTAACTATGACCCCTACAGCAGCCAATGGCTTGCCACAGGAACAGGAAGCTAAAATTCAAAGCCCAAGAGAGGGTACAAATCTCTGTCTCTTTCACACACATACCATGTGCTCTTTTTGTCCAGGACCTCAAACCATGTGGTCCTGTCCACCATTAAACCATCTTTCCAAGCAATTTCCATGTTTCCAGTGTCTTTATTCTCACTTGGTACTGTAGGAAGTTAGCACCCACCCCTTTCCTGGAAGAGTGAAATATTTTAGGAAATATGAAAAAGGCAGAAATATGAGAAGCATATTTTACAGACAAAGCAGCTCCCACCTTCCTGCCCCCCACCCTTTGTCAATGGGCCATTAAGGCCTGGGCCAGTCTACTCTACATAACAAAGATCTACCTCCTTCAGGCAGAGCCATAGTAGGAATTGCCAAAGATGGGATTAGCCCTCTACACAATAGCAGCAGAAACTCACCACATGTGACCTGGGAAGCACATGTGACCATCAGCCAGCAAGGCCCCCACCCCCTGGGAGTCTGACAACCAATCAGGATACTCTTTCTGGGCCCCAGGAAGTTCAAAGCCAGAGAGAGCATAAAACCTGAAAAACTCGCTGTATCTGCCCTTTTCTGTTCAGGAACTCAAGCTATGTGATCCTGTCCACCATTAAACCATCTTTCCAAGCAGTCTCCATGTTTCCAGTGTCTGTTTTCCCCACTTGGAGCAGAACCTAGAAGGATATTTCTTCCAACAGTACTGAACCCAGATGGACATTTCTTCCAACCACAGAAACTACAACACAGTGTTATGCTGTTAGATATTAAGGGAGAAACATAGCAATAGCAGTTAGACTTATATATTGCTTCATAGTGCTTTACAGCCCTCTCTAACCAGTTTGCAGAGTCAGCATATTGCCGCCAACAATCTGGGTCTTCATTTTACTGATCTTGGAAGGATGGAAGGCTAAGTCAACCTTGAGCCTGGTGAGATTCGGTCTGCCAAACTGCTGGCAGCCGTTGATCAACAGAAGTAGTCTGCAGTACTGCACTCTAACCACTGCACCACCGCAGCTCATTCATACTTGCTTGTTTTTCATTTCTGTTAAATTTAGTAAATAACAAACTTGCCAAAAGTCCCAAAGGGAGAAGAATGTAATTCACTTAAATTTTATTTTATTTTTTTAACATCATTTTTTAAAAAATAATTCACTTAATTTTTTTTATAATCCACTTTGTAAAACAGCTAGGGTACTAAATCTGGGTGGCCAGTTGATGGCAGCATAGGGACATTGAAAATTTAGCAGCTAGTGGTCATCTTGTTTTGTTTTGTTTTTTACTACCTGGAAGTGATAGCATTAGAATCAAGCAGAAGGTATTGTGAGGAGTTGAATGGTTTGAATAATGGCCTTAACCTTTGCTGCTTGGTCTGAACAAAGCTCCAGAGTTTCCCTGTGTTCTGTGCTGTCTTTGTGTCAATTCCTCTCACTTTATTTTCCAAAACAGAAACAAAATGCTGATCATTCCTTATAAACTTTTATATTGTTTGGGGTCAAGGTTGCCTGAGCAAATCTCTTCTTCCATTTCGTCTCGCCTTCCACTCCGACATCATCTCAGGAGGGTCATTTCAGCAATTTGGGATGAAGTTTTCTCTATTACTGCCTCAGTAATAGGCAGTAATGGAGCCTCCCAAAAGCACTAAAAGGCCTCTCTTTAGGCAGTCTGTTATTTATTTATATTTTAATTGTGTTGTATTAATTGTATTATTTTTAGTATCCTTTGTTTCATATCCTTTATATGGACCAAGCTGATTTTTGCCATTTGTGAGATCTAATTTTTAAATTTTATTTTATTTGGGATGCAAGAAAAGTCACTAGTTTGAAAATTAAGTCAAATTAATGTTATTGTTCAAATTCAGCTGCAGATAAATATATTAATTTTATGCAACATAAAAATTTGAGGGATGCCCTCCCTCACATGTGTTTGTCAGATATTAAAAATAAGTGTCATCACAGTAAAACTCTCTCCTCTCAGTCTGAAAGCACATCGATAATCTACTTTTCTTTTTTTTTTAGCTATTGTACAATTCAAATCATAACAAGCTGGCCAAAGGATAATTCATGTTTCAAATTCTATGGGCTTTCTTCCTCCTTATTCTTGCTTTTGAATTTTACATCCAACTGTTTTTAGGGATTATTTTGTATTATTACATTTTATACAGAGCATTATAAGCTAACATTTTTGTTCTGAAATGCTTATCTGTTTTCACTTGATCATGATGCAGAATAACCCCAGTAGACTAATACTGTTTGGGAAATGAATTTGTAAGATTCCAAGCCCCTATTTGAAAAGACATATTTGCATAATATTTAGTTAAATCCCCAATGGACACGGTAAGACCTTGACTTTGTTTGCAGATGCTATCTTGAATTCATAAACAGTTATATTTCTTCCATACTTTAATGCTTTAAGATACATTTTAAAGAAGATTCTATGTTCTCTGAGTAGAATCTAAAAGTGAAGCGTCATGGGAAGCTTTACAAGGAAGATTTATTTCATGCACCACTATTAATCTCATTTTTATTTTACTTGCATCAATAACTCTGGGCAGGATCTGAAATAAATTATTATGAAAGGCATATGGATTTTGAAGAATCTCTACATCTACATCATCCACACTAGTTATCCTCAAATGGAATTAACAGCTAGACTTTCTGGTTCATTTGCTATCACACAGATAACAATTAATATTATCACCAACTTTTAATTTTTTCTTTAACTATATGTAAAGAAGGCAACATAGTTTTAGCTTCTCTTATTTTTAATTTCTTCCAGACATTTATTTTTATATTTAGCCATCCAAAACAATGCTGTTTAATACACATGGAATTCTTTTTACATTGCAAGAAGTGAAGAAGAAGCTGCTGAAAGTGTAGGATGGGGAAAGACGTATTTAACCTTAGGTAGGTACATTAAATCTCTGTTTGAAAGAGATAAGTATGAAGTGTATGCGAAACAAATGGTAAAAATGAAACAGGACTACAGATTCCAATTTCTAACCTTTATAGATTGTATTGTTAAAGGTAGTTTATCTAACACAGGTAGATTATATTTGAGGTTGTAAAACTTTATAACCACAAACATCAGGCCATGTAAATTATGTCCTGCTTCTTCCTAATATCAGATCTGCTTAATATTCTCAAGAATTCACGTTATTAACCTTGTGAAATTTGAATTGGTTACAGTCAGGGTGGCTTTGGAAATGTTTGGAATGGACCATTGTATATACCTACACTTTGTATTGTACACTTTGGAGAGAAAAGAAAAGAAGAAGATGATTCACTGCTACCTGAAATTACACACTAGTCTACCAATCCATAATATCTGCCTATCAAGATGGATTGGACTCTCTGTGCATCCCAAGCATCTTGTTTTGCAAAGCAAATGCAATCAATGGGGAGCAGTGGAGGGGAAGAATATAGTTCCATGGACAAAATCTATTGTGTTAATGAATCCCACACTGGAAGCCACTTAAAATTAGGCTCGAGTACATCCTGAATTAAATTTGGTTTCTAGTTCCAAAAGTTCTTTTTTCAGGGTGAGCCATATTGCCTATTGAGTTGGACTTTGCTCTCTGAAAGGTGAATATTACCTGAGCAAAACAACAATAACATAATTGAATTTAATATTAGTTAAAAATGGATTGCTTTATTTCTTTCTAACTTTTTAATTAAAATAGTTGTTTAGTTTAATACATTTTAACTAATTATCCAGTTCATACTTTGTCAGTATATATATATGCATACTTGTGCTATATGATGTTTCTCAGTACATGAAAATGATAATTGACTATTGCTCTAATGGATCAATAATGTATAAGAGTTAATTGGCTTTGCAGACCCCTCATTTTAAGAAAACATCTTTGCTGCTACAAACATGTATCCAAAAAATATCTAAATGCTGTTGGTTCATCTGTGTCCTCAGAGTCACCTAAGTACTGCAAATGACTGTGGAGTCTTCTTGGCTGTAGGATGTTGATGAACAGATGAACCTCCAAGTGGCCTCAATGATTCTCTAAAGGAATGCAAATGACCAACTGTCTGCAAGGAGTATAAATGTTTCCATTACCCACCATCCAGTCAGAGCTGAAGAAAGTTCTTGGATGAGAAGTGAAACGTCTTCAAAAAAGAAAGAAAAAACAAGAAAATCCAGTTGCCTCCTGAAAAAGCACCTTTGGGTATCCAGTAAACCTTTCATTTACCCAGTTATTATTATGAACTGATTTACAGTGAATAAAACTGATTAAACCAGAAGCTGAAATCGGATCTAAATAGTTTTACTGTTATTTATGAGTGGTTCAGCTATATTTAGTGCACATTGTTTTCAATACTATCTACTAAGGTTTTTCTTTCATGCAAAATGTTTGTGAATGTTTCCATATTTAGCTCCAGTATTGGATCAAGACACATGTAATATAATGAGCATACTATAGAAGCTTTCATTGTTTGTTTGACTGTTTAACATATACAGTAGTGTTATGCAGTCATCTAATTCATTCACAAGATACAGTCTATAATCTGATCATATGCAAACTGCTGTGCAGTTTTAATGGAGACAGAATTGGGTTAAAGAAGAATGTGATATGTCCTTGATTTTACTCTAATATTTGAACAATAACTCTTGGATATGCTCCTGGTTTTTCATGTTTTCTCTTCTCTCAGTTCAGATTCACTAGGCTTGAACTACTCAACTATAGTCTCTAGAGGGATACAGAGAATGTCCACTCTGATTTCCTCCTTGATCATTTTTTTCCCTGTGCATTACTTTTCTCACTGGGCTTTCTAACTCCAACCACAAAGTTGTGACATTGCAGTATTCTAACAAACGAAGACAGTGCAGGTACAGTTGACTTTTTCATCAATGTAATGTCTGTATAGAGTCTAAAAATAGAACTAAATCCAAGGTTAATGTTAAACAAAGTCAAAGAAAAACCAGACATTTAGGACTCCAAAAGTAACTGGTACAGCCCAATTAATCTCTAACCTCTAAAGAAGGTAAAATGTGAATGCAACTTCAGTGTTACTTGTCACTAGAAATAATTACTTTTATGGCCCATGCTTCATTTAGAAACATGCTTAAAACAGTAATGGTTAAATGTTGGACAAGGACACAAGAAATTTAATTTAAACAGTACACAGTCATGAAACTTATTTGTGATCTTGGACCAGCAACTATCACTCAGATTAATTTATCTCAGAGCCTGTTTGTAATAAAATATAAAAGAATAATTGGATGAAAAGCAAAAGAAAAGAGCAATCCATAGTCTTCATATCACAATACATAGTTAGCAATACAAAGAATTGTTTTAAGTATCCAGATAAGGGGTGAAATCCAGCAGGTTCTGACAGGTTCTGGAGAACTGGTAGTGAAAATTTTGAGCAAATACCAACTCTGGTTGGCCCCAGAGTGGGGTGGGAATGGAGATTTTGCAATATCCTTCCCCTAGGAATGAGAAGAGAATGGGGATTTTGCAGTATCCTTCCCCTGGAGTGGGGTGGAAATGGAGATTTTGCAGCATCCTTCCCCTGCCACATCCACCAAGCCACACCCACAGAACCGGTAGTAAAAATTTTTGAATTTCACCACTGATCCAGATGTCATGAAGTTATCAGATAATAATGATAGCCAGGTAACCAAATGATGCCAGTAACTGGGAATGTTGAACAACTGCATGAGTAGAAAAATATTGAAATTAAACAAAATTCTGTCTCTGGGATACTTCCAACACCAGTATAAACATGGTTTCTTTGAGTTGCCTGGAGAACGTAGTTATGATTCTGTGAAGGTAGGGAAATCTTGCCATAACTTCAGAGAATCCTAAAACAGCCCCAGATGTATGGCATAAATAAAAATAGGGTGACTCACAGTTTTTATTAACTGAATGATTCAAATGAGCAGAATTAAAGGAAATGATGACAACCATCCAATGTTATTTGAATATCTGATACCCACCAGTATTAGTTAAGGGTAATTTTACCCTGGATCTAGGATGCAGGTTCTTTTATGTAGCTGGGTTGTCTGCTATCATTGCCAGTCTTCTTTCTTGTTTTATTTCATTGTTTCAGAGTATGCATATGCATATACAGTATATTCATTTCTCTGTTTGTCTATCTGTGGCCTATCTCTATCTCTATAAATTAAAATGTAAATGTTCGTTTGTTCAAAATCGTAAATCTCCGAAAGTTCTTCACAGATTGCTTTGAAATTTTGACACAACATTGCATTCGAATATGCGCGTGTTTTTATATACCTATATTATATAGATGTCACACCTGTGACAGGTAAAAACATACTTTCTTGAAAAACAGTGCCATCTGTTGGATGTAAAAGTAACACACGCTATACTAAATATTTTACAATTCCATTTCAATGTTTCCGATTTACGATCCATTTACCATTTCCAAATTTCCAATTTTACGATTCCATTTCAATGTTTCCGATTGCATTGTTAAATTGAATTTTCATAGATTTTGATTTATTTTCATTTTGATTTAATTATTTCGTGCAACATTGCATTGGAATTGAGCTGTGCCGTATCCCTCTGTAGCTCAGGTTACGCCTACTTTGCCTACATCCCACCAGTCTTTTCACTCGGTCAATTGCATTCAGACCTGGGTTGCCTTTCTCTACATTTCTTTTTGGACTTTAACATCGCAGCACCACAATGGCAGGCGTGAGCCTGGTCTTTTCCCCTCAGCGCCGCCGCCACCAAACCCACAAGCAAAATGGCGGGAAATGTCAACTGCCGCGAAGCGTCCTCCCGACTAACGGAGTATGACGTACCTTTGGCAGGGACCCTGATGCTGCCTGTGATGCGGAGAGCTGCGAAGGTGAAGGCAGTTATACCAGCAAGCTGGGAAACCAGCTCTTACACCCACGGCAAAGTATCCTCGGAGGCATCCGAAGACAAACCTATGGAGCCCCAGGAAAGCAAACTCACTGACAGTAGCCTGGGCAGAGGCCTCCGCCAATCCCACTACGCGCAGCTCTCCCAATACAAGCACCAAATAGGTAAAACTCCAAGAAAGCAATTGATTAAGCGATGTTAAAGTCCAAAAAGAAACATAGAGAAAGGCAACTCATGTCTGAATCCAACCGACCGAGTGAAAAGATTGGTGGGACAGAGGCATAGTAGGCGTGGCCTGAGCTATAGAGGGACATTATTGGCACTCGGTCAAAAAATATTGTATACCCACAAGACTGGGCCACAGCAACGCATGGCCGGGTACAGCTAGTTTAATAAATAAATATGAGCTTTTCTGCATTTCACTCTGATATTGAATATAATGTTACTTTATGGTAGATGAATTAAATTAATTATTGTAAAGAGGAGGTAGCTAGTCCTTAAATAAAAATAAACAGAAGAGGAGTCATCAGAGTAGCCAGGATCACCTGTTCACCCATTTTCTACTCAGCCAATTAACCAGTTAGTGTCCTACTCAATTTCTCCTAAATAGACAATTGGCTTATTTCATAAAGGAATTCCATAAAGGATATCAAAAGAAGTTGGGGGAAACTTGTGAAGACTTGTAAACTTAAAAGTTTACAAGACACCTGTTTGAACTTCACTGTTTGAACATGTGAATATGCTTATCCAAAATGCTATACAGGCATGTTCAAACAGTGAAGTTCAAACAGGTGTCTTCTCCAGATGGAAGAGACCAAAATCATTTCCACCTCAACATGAAAATTGCATACTTGAGAAGAAAACAGAAGTTGCCAAAATTTCTTGAAAATAGTTTGATCCTCTCCAGTTATATTTAATATCTATAAAAAAGATTTCCTGCCAATAGTGACTGTCCCAAATACACCCAGGGAGCATCTGAGACTGAGAATGAGGTAAAACCTTGATCTCCTAGGTGCCAATCCACACTGTATCTGCCTCACCACACTTATTCTCAGTTAACTTCCCAGTTTATCCCAGATAGATTCTACTATCCATAAATTTAATAGTTTTCCATCCATACAAGAACTTGAAATTCATTATTTAATTAATAGAACTGGTAAATAAATAAAGATAATTAATTCAATAGTATACAAGAATTCCATTTGAATCAACACAAATTTATACACAGAATAAAAAAACAAAGAGAAATATATGTTTTTAATATAACTAAATACATTTCCTGAGTTATTAATAAAACTGAATGACAGAAAATCATGTTCAGATGAAATGACTAGAAGCTGCCACTACTGTTAGTGTGTTGTTCTTAAGAGGTGCTTGCAAAGTCTGGAGGAAAAGTAAAACAATATTCTGTGAGAAAAGGTTTATGGGTGCTGAAAAGAAAAGAAAAATGGGGAAAAAATGTTCTCCTTTTGGAATATTTTTACTAGCAAAAATACATCAAAACATTGTTTATTATTTTGTTTAAAGTGAATCTGCAAATCAATCTAAACAGGGGGGAAATGGGATCAGAATGGATGATCGTAGAATAACAGCCTGTTAACATTGTCTGACCTCCAATGAATGTTTCTTGCAACCTTATCCAAGATTGTGTATTGCTGTTGGGCACATATTTCCTTGTCTGCTTTCTTCATTGTTTTTTAAAGAAACTTTCCCTGGTGCATTAGACAAAATGGTTTTTGCAACCTTAATGAAAACAATACATCATTTATGAAGAATTTTCAAGTAAAATCTTGGAGATCTCACATCTCCATGATTGTTTAATTTGTCAAACATTGCTAGGAAAATTTAGACTCGACCTATTTATCTCACACATCTTCTCTGGAACATATCCAAGCAAGGGCAGATCATTAGGGCTACAATAGAATCAAGGGTTTATGTGGGTTTGTGTGTGTGTGGTTTTGAGAGGAATATGATATGACTAGTACATAGGTCAAACAATTTCATTTTACTTTCTTTCTGATCAGTGTTCTCAACACTGGAATATAAATCAGGGGTTTTTTTGTGTTAGTTGACACAGATTACTTTTTCTCCCTCCTCTCCCTCTTTCCATTTCCCTTCAAGATATGCTACTGTGACTATCAAATAGATTTATGAGGCATTTTACATACAAGCAAAAACGCAATGCTGAGAAGAAACACTCCAAACAGTACAAACACTTCGGTGTTTTTAGACAGTTTCATTTAGAAAAAATCATTAGTTTGTAATTACCTTTTAAAAGTAATCAAAACATTTGTAAAACTGTGTTTGAAAATAATTCATAGTCTTGTTCTTTGAAGGTGGTTTTTAAGTCAATTTAAGGATAAACATCACGGTATACTTTAGCTGATGACTGACTGGTCACTAATTAGGAACCTGGCT